TGAACCTAAACATAGTGAAAATTGACACAAAGACAAGATCGGAGTCTTAACCTGTCCTCCAATGAATTCAAACCTGAAACGAACAGAAAAACTTAAAGATAGTAACTTAAGTATTCATTCAAATCAGTTTTCAAATTTAGTAGAGTTAAAGCAGTTTGCTTTCAAAAAATGTAACAAAAAGACTGAAAGAAATTTGTAGTAGATTAGTTACTAATTTTAGAAAACATTTACTTTCTTTAAGTTATTGATTAAAAAGACTATGCTATTGATTATTAGATAAAACACGAGTAATTTTATTCTTGCCGATTTTGTTTCTGTGATGTTCATCATAACATTACTGTATTAAATAGAAATTTACTCAAAATAGACCACGATTATTCACTGTTTAAGATCATATACTTTCATACAAAAGCTCTGACTGACACCAAATCGGTTGGGTTTCGATCCTGGCTTGAGGCATTCGGATGTCTAGTCGCACTGAGGAGCTGTACAGTGCGAAACAATACTGTCTGCAAATCACACCCATATATATATTTGTCCTGGGTATGACGATAAACTACACCTGGCAGCAAGGCCTCTGATCAGGAGACTGGAGGTTTTGAGGAGCGTATAACCACCTCTTAATTGCTGTTGTTCCCAAGTCCATCCTGACTCGGAGTGGTTGCACCTTTTAGGGTTGAAGGTATAGGCAAATAGTGAATGAAAACCTTAATAATGCAATTATATTTGTATATGTGTATATGCGTATGCGTGTTATATATTTGTATATGTGTATGTATATATGTGTGTATATGTATGTATGTATGTATGTATATATATGGATATATTTATGAGTGTGGGGGTCTGAACAGACCTGTGCAAGAAAATCATGGGTGCTCCCAAGCCATCTTCCCTCAATGTTTGAGAAGGAAAACTCACTGCATCAAAACCTTGTTGCCTTCAGTATGGTCTGTTGAAAGGCACTGTACTGTGTGTTGGTGGTTGTTTCGGAAAGATTCAACTCCAAGACAAATAAAACCTGAGGCCTTTTGCAACAATTCCTTGTTATCAGTAGTACTAAAAAGTGTGGATGATCCGATACATGCATTCACCACTATAATCAGATCCTCTGTTTAGTTTTTCTGACAAATTTCATCATCTCAGTTCTATATGTGGGCTTGTATGCAGGTCACTAGCAGGACTGAAGTGTCACATACAACACAAACATAAAAACTGAATGAGATTGTCGGATCCTCATACATCGAAATCAACTAGGGCGTCTCGGTGTGGTGTAATGGTTACCAAGCTTGTCTCGCTAAAACAGTTAAGACTGAATAGTGAGTTCGATCCTCATTGGGTCCCCCATACTTTGGCCTTGTGCCGCAAGAAAGCTTAGAAAATCAATACATCCAAATCGACTATAAAGATATAGTTTCAACGTATGCTATACTTATGGGTAAAGATTACTATTTTATATAGCGTATGTAAATATAAAAGTCAACACCAAACGGCGAGAGAGTGTTTCATGGTTCAACGCAATCTTCAGGCGATCTTAAAAATGACCTGAAAATTGCGTTCAAGCATGAAACAGAACTTCACGGCTTGGTGTTAACCTCAGTGTCCACTTAGATGTATTTTTATCGTTTCACGCCAAGCAAAGCGATAATGTCGCTAGGACGCAAGGGGTTACAGACAGTGAAAATAAAAGAGAAGACTGAGAATGGGGAGGATTGAGAAAATGACAAAAAAGAAACAGAAGATGGCGATTGACTTTGCATTTAAATATTTGAATATATATAAAAGACTATATATATATATATATATATATATATATAGAGAGAGAGAGAGAGAGAGAGAGCTATATACAGCTATAGATATATAAATAAAAGACAATATATATATATACACACACAAACATACAGACAGACATGTATATAAATAATACACACACATATATATATATATATATATATATATATATATATATATATATATATATATATATATATATATATATATAAATCTTATAGAAATCTTATAAGAAACTATACTGCTCAGAAAACCTTCGGTGTCTTGATTTACAAATAATCAAACCAATACCAAAGGGAAAAAAAATATTTAAAAAAAAGAAAGAACCAAGAACATGTACGTTAGCCGAAAATAATCGTCTAGCATGGGCCTTGGACTTGCATGATGGACGATTATTTTCGGCTAAAGTACATGTTCTTGGTTCTTTCTCTCTCTATATAGACTGTTTCGCTGTATCCCAACTTATCAATGTAGCTAGACATTCGATTTCTTCAAGCCGGCATCAGTCAGAGACTCTACACCTTAGCTATCGGCGCACAGTAGAAAAAGGGGATCTTTTAACGTATTATAAACGTGATGTATATAAACGCCTTATATATATATATATATATGTTTGTATATATATATTGCCTGCGTCAATATTTGAAGTATTATTTTAAATGAAAATAATTGTACTATAATTCTGCGCATCGCCGTATATATTAAGTAGAATCATAAATAATTTACACTTTTGTTTATCACTTCTATTCTTTAAAAAATAAAGTACAATTACATTTTATTTAGTTATATATTCAACATAATTTGCAGTGAGCTGTTGCCACTTATCAGGCAGCCCTCGGATACCTTTTGAGAAAATTTTACGCGCGTTTTGACTTGAAAAAGTTTTCGACGAACTCTTAAGTTTGGTTTTCATGACAAACATTTTCTTCATCAAAGCACTTTGTAGCGATCGGAAAAGGTTATAATCAATTAGTGCAATGTCAGGTTAATCTAGCGAGTAGGATAGAACAGACCAACCGAGTTCCTAAATTGTTCCCTGTGTTATCCTTACTCTATGTATCGTTGTGTTGTCATTGAGAACAACATGTTTCCTTTAAGCCACTGTATTAATAACTAAAACAGACAGCGACTAAATATTTAAAATATATTTTTTAAACATTTTTTTACATACAACGTGTAAAAGCACGTGCCTTCATCAGCCGCCAACCAGGAGAGGTAACACAGTTTTGGTGGCTAAGGCGGTACTGCCACCCCTGGTGCTACCAGCAGATTTTGCCATCGGACAGCGTATTGTCTGTCAGTTATATAAAAAAATATATACATAATACCTTACATTGATTGCACAACTTCGTGTTTCATGCCGAAGCAAGTGATGGCATTTTGTTTTGGGTTAACACCGGTTTGATAAGATTTCTGGTTATCGCGAGATACTTTATTGTTGTGGTGAAATATTATTGTTGTTAAAATTTTATGTGAATTGTAGTTTATTTTTTTATTCGAATTTAAGCCCAGATTAACATTTAAGATTGAAAATGAGGTTGGAAATAAGAATTATAAGTTCTAATTTAGAGGGACGCTGATATTATAAAAGTAACATCATTAAACAGGCCCAGAAACCCATTCTGTTCCATGAAGGTTCTCTGTGGACCAACCGTAGCAATCTTGACTTTAGTATTGCCATTGGTGCGTTTGATTTAGCCGAAGTTTGCAAGATAGTTGTCATACGATTACTTTGGCGTCTTAGGTTTATTTTTTATATTAAAAACATCGGCCTATATAGGGGCGACGGGATTATACTTCTACGCAAATCAAGCGCACAAAAACCTGACCGTCTAAGAAAAGATCTAATTATGTTCTTCAAAGACCAAGGATTACCACCACCTCCAATGGTAAAACATTTATCCTATCTAATGGGCTTCCTAAACCATATACTAAAAAATTATACAACCATAGATACATCAGCAAACAATCCAACCACCATCCTAGAATACTGAATAAGTCGGTTCAATTTAGACTGTCCAACTCTAGCAACTGTTTTGTTGTCACTTCTACACCGTGAAGCAAAAGAGAGAGTGAGTCCTTTCCTTTTATGTTACTAATTTTCTAATATGATCCACCTTAATTCACGTTTTATCACAAGACATAAGTACTCTTAAATTGTAACGTGTGTTCAGAATATGTAAATTTCTTTTTAAAAAATCATTGACATCAAATAGTATAATGATTTCCCACATCCAGGATCCTACAACATACCTCCTTCTACTAAACTACTGCGATCGCGATGTAAGGTAATCAATAACGATATAAAATATATCTAATATAGGTTATCGATTATTTTTGTAATATTATTACAAGCACGGTAATTGAAGTCAAAATTTGCAGCGAAATGGAGGGGACTTGTGCATTTACTTTTAAGGGGACATTGTAGTAATTATCATCACCATCATACATACAAATCATGCGACAAGCATTCATTGGTTAATCTCCTCAAAACTAGCTCGTTGATTGGTCAATTCCGACCAATCAGATATCCTGCACGCGAGGAATGAAAATTCCCGCTCACTAAGGTTTGAGCCAGGCACGTGATACACCACCTTATATAAACAAAAAACGTGTAACCTCTCTCTCTCTCTCTGTTTTCTCTTCATTCATCTTATTCCTTGCTGCCAAGATGTAATCTTCAAGAGCTCCCGCCTTGACCATGCGGTCAGACGTTAAAGAACATTACCATTTCACGCAAGTACGAACTCTTAACTCTTCTGAACTCGTACCAACTTTACCAATTCACATTTCCTAACATGCAACAGGAAATTTATTCTTCTGAACTACAGTTTAATAATTAATCCAACTTTATGAGCTCCGGTACAAATATTTCCAAATCTAAGAGACATAACCCATTCAAACCTTCAGCTTATAGCATGTACACCAACACACTAATAAATTCAATTGTTATGTTTTGAACCATTACGTTCTGTCTTGTATTTTAGACTATGTGCTATTTTACGTCAAATATAAATTGCTTTCAGCGCGAGTTAGTTGACGAGAGTTCACTTGTAGGTCGGTGCGTCCGGACGAGTTGGTGAACACATGCATGCTTGAGTTTAGTGCGAAACAAAGCATCTATGTATCAATGTGTAGTTTAGAATTGTTCGCTATAGAAATAACTACTATCATGACTCTCCATAACTTCCAGGCTTTTGTTCCCCTAAGGCTGACGGCCATATACCGCTGAAACACCGGTTCTCGTCTGATCACTGAAGTTAAGCAAGTTTGGTCAGTAACTAGATAGGTGACCGTTTGGAAATACCACGTGATGTAAGGTTGGATGTACGAGTGGTGTAACTGGAAATCGGAGAGCCGAGTTCCAATTTCAGCTGGGTTCGTTATATTGACTTACGCGCAAATCCACTTGGGAAAGATACGAATCCACCTCTTCTTTCCCCAGCTATGGGTTAATTAGCAAAACTTGTATCAGCAAATCGTTATTATCTTCAAAAGTTTCTTATAATCTACAAAAATCATTTTCTAATTTTAAATAACCTGAAAATGGTTGTAAAAAGCATTAAAAAATCAATAAATTAGTATCTGTCTTGATGACACAACTATTTACTCCTGTCTCGATAGTAACTCTGATCATATCGATTGGCGGCTGATCTAAAAAAAAAAAAAAAAAAAAAAAGATCAGTCTATTGTTAACTGGGGCAAAGGAAGATTTGTTAATTTTAACGCCTCCAAAACAAAACTACTCTCTATTAATCATCTGATTGACCCCTTTCTGCTTCTATCAGTATGGCTGATGCTAACCTCCAAGAGAATGACTCGTTGCGCCTTCCCTGGCTAACATTTTCGGCTGACTATATTGAATCCATTGCTAAGAAAGTTGGTTCACTCTATAGTGCGAGACTTTTTCTCTTCACTGAATCTATTTAAAATATCTATAAGTCTACCATTCGCCCATGCCTCGAATATTACTGCTACATATGTTCCAGTGCTCCTGCTTTATATTTAGAAATTCTTGATAAACTCAAAGACAAATCAGCAATATAATTAGACCTGATCTGGCGTCTCGACTTCAATTACCTTCCCATCGCCGTAAAGTGTCACCCATGTGCCTTTTCTATAAATACTTTCATAGTAATTATTCAGATGAAATCTTTGTCTTTGTTTCTACTGTCCAGTTAACTTACCTAGAGGATGTATGTTCATTGGCCCCTCTTATTCTCCCTTCTATTTACTTTAGTTTAATTCCCCCTACCCTTCTTCCTTGATTGACCAGGGTTGTCAGTTCTCTGGTGGATGCGGGACGCGTATTGATTTTTCGAGGGTGTTTTTTCGTATTTGTTTTTTTTTTTGTTGTTGTTGTCTGGACGAGTGCGTGATGAGTGACTGTTTGGTTTGGTCAAATGATTGTTCTTACTTTCCTAGTCCTCCGTTAATTTTGTCCAGTTAACTGGTTTTTATGCCACATTTAAGGGCTGTGGTTTTTTTTTAATTACTAAAACTATTTTGTTTAAGTTTCTTGTACAGTGTAACCCGGATATAAGAGACCCGGATATAAGAGAGATTTTCTCTGGTCCCAAATTAGAGCCTCTGTTAATGCATATAAAATAGACCAAACCCGGATATAAGAGAAACCCGGATATAAGAGACTTCTTCTCCGGTCCCGACAACTCTCTTATATCCGGGTTACACTGTATATAAAAGTATATTCGTTGTAAATAGACGTCGGAGTATCATTTTAAAAGTTGTTATTTTATTTTCCTACCACCACGGACAAATTGTACATATGGGGACAAGTTAGGACTTCATAGAGATGATAATGTTAAATGTAGTAAGAATGTTAAGTATGAATGTGTTGTTTTGGTGCAAGGAATATTATAGTTTATTTGGGTCAGTGATTGTGGCTAGCTAAGTTTAAGTTAAAACAGATTGAAGACCAGCCTTTTTGGCCTTGTGCCACATTTCCTGTAAATTACCAGGAATAAATAATGCTCTTTGCTATGGCACATAAACTTTATGAATTTAAGCGCAGTACTAGATTAGCAACAAGATCCTATCGGTTTACGGCTTGACGTAACTGTAAGTTCTATGCTAGCAGTTTCTTTTCTCGTACTTCTCGCTTGTGGAACTCTCTTCTGGCTCCATGCTTTGCAGCTAACTTAAAATGTAAAGTCAATTGTTACCTCCTGTCTTCCTGATTACTCTTTCTATTGTACTCGCCCCTTCATAATATTTTCTCTTTTCTAATTCTTTCACATTCAGTAATCCCTTGTGTCATAGTAACTTTACTACCTTACGTGGGGTGAATTCGATTAAAAAAATATTAAGTGCAATTGATTGTTGTTTTCAGTGTCTTTTTATTGTAGACTAGCAGTAGAGCCCGGCGTTGCCCGGGGATGTAACAGTAAGGGATAGATCAAGTATCGACCATCATAAAGACTGAAAAATAAAATTGACAAAGATTATTGTTTAAGGTTGACGGACACGCATGTCTTAAATTTTTTTTTTTTTTTTTTTTTACGAATTGGTCAAACCCAAACTCAAACAAAAACATTGTTTTCAATCGTTATGAGTCTACCGATTGAATAGAATTTTATTATAAACAATTGTCTTGTAAATGGGATTTTTAAAGCATTCTGAATGTAAAAATAAAGAAAATGTGTGCAAAACAATAAGAAACACTACCTGCCAAAAAAAGTGAAGTTTTGTTGAAATCGGTTGAAAAATGTAGGAAATCCGATCCCACATATAAACGAACACACACACACACACACACACACACAAACTGGGTTTTATAATAAGTATAACTCGATATGAGTTGTCGCCCTTTCATTCTCGTGATGCCTCTTAATCATGTTTTCAAATTGATTTCGTGCAAAAACACTTGTGTTTTTCCAATTTTTGGCGCTGTCAGAACCACCGCAAGGTAATTTTACATAGTTCTGTGAAGTTTTGTTGAAATCGGTTGAAAAATGTAGGAAATCCGATCCAATATATAAACGTACAGACACACACACACAATATGTGTTTTATAATAAGTAAGATTATATCTAAAGATCACATTCAATATACTTTACGTGAATTGCAAATGCTGACTTCGAAACTGTAAACACAAAACCGCAATGTTAAAAAATTGAGCGAAACAGAAACTTGGAAGGATTCCAACTCATGAGTTCGGTCCTCGCCAGGTACACGATATTTGTGGCAATTTTGTACCAAAACTAAACCAAGCTTGGAGACTCATCTGGTACCAAGTTGGTATGCAAACATAAAAAGCACACGCATGCGCATTAAAGTGTAAAAACAGATTAAAATATTTCAAAAAGAAGTATAGATTTTTTTATTATGAGAGTAGAAATGATGTAAGTTTGTTTAATATTAACCGTTGAAAATTGTTGATCTTAAATCTTAATTGAAATTATGCTTGATGTGACATATGAAACGCGAGTTTGGATCGTTAAGGTATAATGAATGACTCATCCATTTTTATTTAAAGTTTGGTTGTAGAGAGTGAAATGATTGTTTTTTTCATTGTCTTTTTTTTTAATTTTATATTTTTAATTTTATTTTAATTTCTTTCCGCTATCCGTGCACTTTCGAAGGATGTTAAAAATAAGTCTTTGGAAAATTGTATTTTTAAGGACTTCAAGAAGAGGCTTTAATTTTTCCTAATTTAACTACTTCACGACTTTTTTGTAAATTGAGCATTTTCTTTGTCTTTAAACCAAATTCGAAAGTAATCCTAATCCTGTCTTTCTCTTGTTATTCTTACATTTTGCGTGAACTTCCTCCGTTCTCAAGGAGAAAGCGTTAAAACTGGTTGGCTGTTTTTTATGTGAGTTTTAAACTCTTCAACTGGTATAGTTTTAAAATGACAACTCGACAGCAAACGAAGTCCTGTGTGTCTAATGAATGTCGAGTACACACGTGTGGGACAGTGGAAATTTGTTGATGCAAAGGTTTAAGAAACAAGCGCCAATGGTTAGTTGTTTATTTAAACTCAGTGATTCCATTTATTTGTTATCGCTGTCTCTTTTTATAATCTTTTCAAATGTTATGGAAGCGTTTTCGAGTGCTGTTCTTAAGCGCGTGTATATTTGTGATGTACTTTGTAGGTGCCAAAGCAGTCCTCTTTCTTTAGATAAGAGCCGGCCGCGCAGTGCGTACATAATCGATTATTGCCAATTCATCTATTTTAAATTAGGGTTTTGCAGACATTTAACCTTTCAGTGGCAAAAATGCTCATTGTTTCTCGGATTTCTTTTTTAAGTATTTTTTTTTCTTTTTCTGGATAAACAAAAATGCTTTACTTTTGTGATGAGATGTTAACGGTCTTCACAACGTTTAAGTGAAAGATCTGTTTATATTTTTATTTTGTCTTATTCTTAGGTTTGATGTTATGATTCTCTAAAACGAACGACTTGTCTGCCGTTTACCGGACACACAAAGGGCTTATGGCCGCTTAGTCTAAATAACTCCATTTTTTTCTTTTTAAACGTAAGATTTAAATTTCATATGGCGGGGTTAGGGCTTTTTATTCGAGCATGTTATTAATTTTGTAATTGCTTTTTTTTTTAAGAAATCTTTATCTATTATACTTTTGCATCCTCATCAAAACGCTTATTTCGCGCGCGTTAAAACTTGCAAAATGACCTTTTTTTTTTTCTTTAACTTCAACGCCTGTGTAAACCATTATGATTTTATTTTTAGTCAAGAAAATCAACATTGGAAGTGTTTCCAATTTAATACATATTCAAGAACTAAACAATATATAAATTCGTGACATTTGATGCCAAACAATAAGTTTCGAAAAACATTTAAAATTCACTATTTTTTTTTTTTTCATCCATAATGCTGAATCTATTAAAATTATTCAACTTTTAACAAGAAAATTCTCAAGTAGACGTTAAGAATTGCCCCCAAATATTGTTGATTTATTTAAGGAGATATTCCAATGACGTGTAACTTGTATTTAGATACATTGTACTTATTTTCAGTTTTTCTAGTTGAATTGTTAACTTGTGTTGCCTATGATGATCCATTATTGTACATAATTAGGTTACGATAAAATTTGTATTTTATGAATACTACCTTATGAAAATTGATGTAGTAGAGTGGGGGCTGTATTAAAGATTCAGCGGGTATAATAGATTCTTGGAGGAGGGTACGACAAGTGCCTTATTAAAGGTACGTTGATTTCCAGACTCAAACATTTGCTCAATTAGATTATCAAAGTACGAAACTAGAGTGTGCGAAAATATAATAACACACCGGAAATTTAATTTAATTGTTACGTATTTCCCACAAAAACAACAACAA